CGGGGAGTCTGGCGGTTCGTGTTTTTTTTTAAAAAAAAACCCCAGGATGGCCGTTTTCTGAAGGTTGTTCTTCCTAACGTTTCGCCAGTCTCTGTGGCCGGCATCTGAAGATGCTGGCCACAGAGACTGGCGAAACGATAGGAAGAACAACCTTCAGAACACGGCCAAAGAGCCCGAAAAACCCAGAACAACCATTAGATCCCGACCGTGAAAGCCTTCGTGAATAAATTAGAGGAGAAATTATGGCACAACCCCAGCCTTTTTTTCTAGAGACAGACAGCACTGCAATCCTTTATACCCATTATGAGGCCTAAAGGAATGGAGCTATGTTCTAAACATCTCGGAGAGGCCAAGTGTATCTCAAAGGTCCGCTCACCATCAAAGTCCTCAGGGAAGGTGCTGAACCATGAAGAACAAAAACAAACTCTGACCCAAGATTTCTCAGATTTTTTTCCTAAAAAACATTTTGCTATTTTAGTTCTCTTGAACCTCCTAGAAATAGAATGGCACAATTATTTATACACTTGTTTACAAAATTTCCCCACCATTTTGGCTACATCATAAGCATGACTGCCTCTCCACTGCGGTGTCCTAGAATGAAACTAGGAAACAGAATGGTGTCCAGGCTACCAACACATTTTTTTTCAGTGACAGTGCAAAAGCAGACAAGCAAAGAAAAATCTGCTGCAAGAGGAAAACTAAAGTGTGCTACAATCACTGCTAATGGTGAACCCAGCCACTGTGAAATTGCTGTAGAATTTGTTCCTTCTCCTGGATAAATCTCCTGAAATTGTACCTCCAGTTCCCCACACACATTGTGGCTTTCCTATTTTCCTATATGCTCAAATGATGGGAAAACATTGTTGATAAATTGAATGTGTTAGTCCCCAAAAAGAGACCTTCCTGGAGTTGTGTATTCAGTACTGCTTACCTGGCAGGCGGTTCAGGGTGACCCAGTAGTGCTCATCTGGACTATAGGTGTCCTTTGACCATTCAAGCAGATCTTTTGCACGTATATCAGTCAATGTAAACTCTACAAATTTTCGTGTGAGTACATAGTAGGCACCCCCAAAATATATGGTCAAATTATGGGGTGGCTCACTTTTAATTTGCTTAGTTGGATACACGTAAGATTTTCCTGAATGTACATATTCTTTGTAACTCATATGTGTTCGTTGTTTCATATGTGGAGGTTGAACAATTCCTGGAGTCATATTTTTACCATTCCATTTACTTTTAATATATTGTATAAGTTCCTTGTTAGTTTTGATGGGATAATCCTGGCCACATAGATTAATAACATAATTCCATTGATTTTTTGATTCAATCAAGTCCTTCATACAGTTGATATCTGCTTGCAATCTGGAAAATCCTGCATAAACAACAGTCTCTCTCTTTGATGCGATAAAAATGTTTTCAAAGCAATTAACCAGGGTTTGCACAGACGCCTTGTAATCCGTTGATGACTTCTCATCAATGTGTATACAATAAATATTCTGCGGCACATAAATAGCTCTGAGTAACCTTACAAACATATCAAGTTCTTTGTGAATGGTGATGATGTATGCCAAGGAGAAGTTCCCTTCTTCTTTGGACAGTGAGTTTGTAATAAAGTGAAGTTTCTTTTGAAGTGCTGAGCAGTTGCAAGGAGTTTGTGTGCAAATAGACATTTCTTGTTTGTGAACAAGCTGCTGGCACAGCTGGCCCACTTGAGGAGCAGCACTTTTCCCTTGAAAGAGGGCTGAGCAAAGTTCATCAGGGTAATTGCTGCACTCTGGTAATTCTGAGAAAAGTTTTTGTTCGTTACCTTCCTTGGAAACTATATTTTTTACATAGATAAAAGCAAAGATGAAGATGCAACCCACAACGCAAACTAAAAAAACTGATTTTGCTTTCTCGAGAAGGTTCATCTTCTGCTCGCCAGAAGTATTCTTTCAACCATAGTTCAGTGAAATTGTGTCGGTTCTATATGAGCAAGAAAAAGAGGAAATAAAAGACATTTGAACTCAATTCTGAAGTTACAATGATTCATCTGGTTAGAGTGAAGAAAATCATTTTCTTGGAAGAGCCTATTGTGAAATTTCATTATGTGACCATAGGCTTTCTGAAAGACAGGTTTAACTATGCCTTAAGAACAATTTTGTTGTTTTTATGGTGTGATTCTGGATGTCAGGTTTGAGGTTTTTTTCTAGCCCCAGCTCAAAACCATTTCTTTCTATTCTTGGCTAGGCAGACTTGATGGTGATAGTAGTGTGTTTTTCTCATGTACTCATTCTGTTTGCCTAAGAAGAATTTTCATCTCTTGACTGTTAAGAGTACATGGGAGAGAGATGTTGTCACCTGCACTTTACCTTCCTTATTCTATTGCTCCTGGCACCTTTCTCTCTTGCCCAGTAACCATGGGAGTGAAAGAGGTAAAGAGGAAAGTGCCAAGAGGTGTGGACTAAAGAGAGGAGAGGGTGCAATCATTAAGAGAGAACAGCAGTTGCAACAGTGGGGAAAACTGAACAAACACACCAGTGATAATACTGACACAGTTACTGGGGTGGGGTGTGGGTAGCCATGTTAGTCTGTTCCATCAAAAAGAAGACAACCGTCTTGCAGTACTTTAAAGATTTATCATTTTTTGTTTGGCATAAGCACTGAAACTCATTTCATCAGGTGTCAGGATCTGTTGTCATGTCTGTCATTTGTAGTGTAGTGTGATTCAGCAGTGCTTCTACTTTTTTAAGAAGGCCTGTCGACTCCATACACCCTCAATAAGGGTTAGGCAAAGGCTAAATCATCATCTTCTAAACTAGCATGCATACACTTTTTAGTTGGACCCAGAAATCATGACACTGTTTTCTTCAGCCAATTCCTCTATATTAAATGCACATCATATGTAATCTACTACTCTATGATGCATATCATTATTCAGTGATTTTGGAGGTCAAGACAAAATGCAATTCCTTCTTGGTTATACGGTGCAGTGTCTTTGGATCCTGACATTATAGGTTATTCTGTACGCATGCTCCATGTATTTGATCTATGCTACTTAAATACTTCTGTTCAGAAAGAATAAAACAACTTCTAATAGTTTGGGTTGTATTCAGACTTAGTTGTACATAGATACAGTGGTGCCTCGCTTAACGATTGCCCCACGTTACAACAAATCTGCTTTACGACAGTTTTTGCGATCGCAATTGCAATCACAAAACGATGGTCTAAATGGGGGAATTTCACTTTGCGATGATCGGTTCCCTGCTTCGGGAACCGATTCTTCGCAAAATGATGTTTTTAGAACAGCTGATTGGCGGTTTCAAAATGGCCACCGGGTAATTAAAATGGCTCCCCGGTGTGTTTAGGGACGGATTCCTCGCTATACAGGCAGCGAAAATGGCCGCTGTATGGAGGATCTTCGCTGGACGGTGAGTTTTTACCCCATTGGAACGCATTGAACGGGTTTCAGTGCGTTTCAATGGGGTTTTTATTTTTGCTTTACGATGTTTTCGCTTAACGGCGATTTTCCTGGAACGGATTATCGTCAGTAAGCGAGGCACCACTGTATCCTGTTGAAACTGGGGGACTTGTTGCGTTGATCTTCATGGATCTGCCATAAGCAAGACTAAAGCTCTATTAAATTATTTTTCATAAGTGTAAACTCTATATGATAGAGGACTAGGAACAAGAGAGCTGACACCTGTCCTTCCCTTATTCTTACTTGTTCTCTACATGTTGATCACAGCAATCTGTAGAAGGGCATCCTCTATCCATGGAGGCTTTCCTGAGGCTATTAGAATCTAATAGCATTTCAAGGAAATTTATATATATGCCATATATGTAAGAGGCTCCCCTTTATGGACAGTTCTCTCTCTCTCTCTCTGTCCCTCCCTCCTTTTAGAGCAGTGGTCCCCAACCTTGGGCCTCCAGATGTTCTTGGACTTCAACTCCCAGAAATCCTGGCCAGCAGAGGTGGTGGTGAAGGCTTCTGGGAGTTGTAGTCAAAGAACATCTGGAGGCCCAAGGTTGGGGACCACTGCTCTAAAAGGAGGGAGAAATAGAATGTTAAGTGAGAAAAGGCTAGTGTGTTCATCCATGCTCCCCCATTATGTGTAAAACTTATATACAAGCAGAGTTAAGATTGAACTGCCATTCATTTTTTAGCAAATTGAGACTTTGAGGTGACAGAAAAGCCCATAGGTTGTGTCCTGGTTCTAATAAACTGTGAATCAAGACTGTTACATTTTCTCTTGTTATTTATGTTACTGTAACTAGCATGAGACAAGGAATATTAACTTTAAATACTAACTTTAAAAATAAAATTGTATGTTGAGAACCATTAATGTTTCTCCTGCTAATATAAAATTCTGATCTTAGCAGCATGGCTTGGCCTTACAATATTCTTTAAGGTTACTGTTTCCAAACCAATTTTAGCAAAATTGTTTACCGTTGTACATTTTTACCTTCCTGAACTTGTTATTACACAAACGTTGCTTTGTTGAAATATCCTAAGCTTCTCAATGCAGCAATATATTTCCTTAGAGCTCAGAAGTGAAATCTCCTTCCTTGAGCCTTTTGATGCTAAGTATATGCAACAACAGAAAAGCGATTTAACAGAAACAGTGATCAGGTAAAATATTTTGTGAGAAAATTCAATGCTGATTTTACTTTGGCTTTGGCAAATACTTGGAAACTTTATTCAGCTTGTTGGGAGGGGGCTAACATTTGAAATCAGGAATATTGTTGGTTTTCTGCAGCTGAGAATGATTAAATTACTTGTGGCTTAAAATAGGAGCATAGTATACTGCCAGCCGAGTGATATGTACAACTACCAATTCTGTCCATGGGCTTTTTTGTAATCTTTAAAATCTAAGCTCTCATTTAAATCAGTTACATATATTTCTAGCGGCATACCCGTTCTCATTGAAAGCATTCAAAGGGCAACAGACAAAAAAGAAATACATGCAAAAGCAGAGTTATTGGAAAATCTTCTTGTTCTTACCAGTATGCCCCCGAAGCCTGTCTCTTTCCCGCTTCATTTTGTTGAAATTCTTCCTGTGGAGTGCTCGACAGAAGATGCATCCATTTTGCTGCTTTCTCCTGTCTCTTCCTCAGTCACGCTGTTCTCTGGCAGGACTGCCCCTGTGCAGGCCTTTAAAAAAAAATCAGGAAACCAATCCCCATAGAATAGTATTTGCCTAAAGGCTCCTAGGGGATAGGCTTACTGTGTAAACATGCTTATAGTGCAAGCATTGTCTTAATGTGAGCCTTCATGGAAATGTTCAGTGCTTTTGATGCTGTGAAAGCAAGCACAGGGAGGAAGAGGAAGTCTGCGAAAGGTGGACGCAAGATTTTTTTGAGCAAAACAGAAACAGGCATGCTCTGAGATTGCTGTCTGCTGCCAAATGACAAACAAAGCCAAGAATAGATTGCATAATGGACATTATGTACACTGCAGTGAGAGTTACCGGTGTGACAAGGGGGCGGGTTTACAGTAAGTGGCACTCTCTGTGTCGCAGAGTCAGAAATGCTGGGTAGCGATGATCGAGTCATTGAAAAAGAAATGGCAGAATCGCTCTGAATTAGGCAGATCTGAGGTTAGTGGCATAAAAGCTTTATCACGGTGAACTGCATGAGCAGTACAGTAAGGGACAGCAAATCCTGCACTTCAGTGAAGTCCCCCCCCCATGAGCTATTTTCTGATAAGCATAACAGAAAGTAGTTTGTGTTCTAAATTGTCTCTTGCCCACTCCAGATACACTGCAACATATACCCCAAAGTAACTAGAATTTCTTGCATTTGTGACCATCATTTCTCTGATCAAAATATTACCACTCTGGTCAAAATATTCTATGTAGTTCAAAACATGTGAATCTCAGCATATCTCCTGTGAATCCAAAGCAGAATTCTTCATCAGTTGGATAATTTGCAGGATTGGTTATAACCTTTAAAAACTTGCTTTTTTCTAAGATGGTCAAGAGGAGCACATAAAGAGGGACTTTTATATGGAGAAACCACGATAGCTACATTCAAGGTCACATCAGAGCAGTAAACAGAGTACTGTACAACCCTTTCACTTGTGCATTGCCACCAACTACATCATGGTGAATGCCATCTAACATTTCAGATGGAAACAGAGAGACACTTCTCTGCTTATCACATTTCTGTTTGTATGGAACGTATAGAGCTAAAGGAAGCAGGGGGAATTCAGAGGCTTATAGTCCAGAAAGGTTACATTTCCAGCTTGCTGTGTTGGAAGGAACACCCCAATTTGATTGCTTCAAAGGTTGTTCTGTGCTGATTTAAAAGCAAAGAGGTTTTTGTTCCTTTGCATAAAAAATTGGGATGGGGGAATTATCCTAGGGCAGTGATTCCTAACCTTGGGCAATCCAGGTGTTCTTGGACTGCAACTTCCAGCACAGCTGGTGGTGAAGTATTTTGGGAGTTGTGGTCCAACAACATCTTGTTTGCCCAAGATTGGGAACCAATATCCCCTAGGGCATATCACCAGCAGCTTAAAATAAGTAAACATATGAAATGGACAAGATGCATGCTGCATGATACCTCCACACTGATGCAGATTGAATCACTACATTTCTGCAAGAAACAATGTGTATATGGTCAGAAATTTAACTTCAACAAATGCAGTGAATGATAGTCTGAAGGTATGCAGAGTTTTTAGAAGGTATCACCAGCCCTCCAAAAGCAAAATAGGGACATTGATCAACTAAAGATAGTTTACCAAGCATGCAGTGGGCAGTTAGTTACTCCTGGATGTTACAATCCTGCAGCATGTGATAAGGTTGTCATATCTAGAATCTCGGTGTTAGCCATTGCCAATTTCACTTAACACCTTGGCAGACACTGCCATTGTCCTTGCATCCACATTGACATGACAAATGCAAATGAACTATGCAAACATTTTAATACTTCAGCTTCCTTATTCAATTTTAGAGAATTTGTGGGTATAATTTTATATGTTTACTATAGCAGTCATTTATTCTAAATGCTGTGTAAAAGGAAGTTTTCTGACATCAATTTGCACTGTAAGGCAGGCAAACACAACAGCTGATAGCATCAGAGTGGGTGGAAATTTTCAGGGAAGTGAACTCTTCAAGAAGGTCTAAGTGGTGTAGAGATGCATTACAGTTCTTTGTATGCAATCTTCGAAGAAGATTGTGTGTTGTAATGCTAGTGTTTGTATTAATAGCTAATGGGGAAATGGGCAAAGCTCACTGTTAAAGCATGTGCTTTATAAGCAGAAAGTCCCAGATTGACCTCTAGCCTCTCCTCTTCAGGGTGTTAGATAGTGAAGCTGGAAAGGGTTTCTGCACAAAACGGTGGAGTGCCACTGCCAGTTAAAAGTGAGCAATGTTCTTGCTTACTAGATGGAAATAGTGGTCTTGATAGCTTAAAGCCATCTTCATGTGTTTCTGGTAAATGGTAATATGTTACCATATCCAGATTTTCTGTTTCACTTCCTAATAGCAGTCATGATGGTTTTTAGAGCCAGGTCATGCATTATGTACAGTATCTCCTAAATGAAGGTCATCTTTACAAAGGAAATTGTCATGTGTTTATTGTGTTTTTGACCACCCATGTACATAGCGGCTCAGTTCAGACATTATACCAAATCATATTTTGGTGAATATACTCACATGCACAAATCCTCCTTTCCACTACAGTAATTTACCATGGATTTCCGGTCTGGCAAACTGTGTGATGAGCTCCTTACATCCAAATCCCAAGTTTCCAAGTGGTATGTGAACTGGAATTGGCTCTAACAGTGCCCAAGAGTTTTGGAATAGTTTGAGGGGATCCCGTAGTCATCAATTGAGGGATTTCCTTTTAAAGCCCAGAATTCAAATGTACTGATTGCATATTTTAGAAAGCAGGGACATGGGGAAATGGCTATGGCTCTGTCATAGCTTGGTGACCACAATCAAATGTTTTGACCATAAACGAGAAGATCATAAAGCTTAGAGAGATCAGAAGGGACACAGACACAAACTGTCTGGCCCCAGGCAAGATTTTCCATGCCTCAGTTTCCTTTACAAACTATGCCACATAATGTAGGTGAAGAAACTATCCACAGCTCTGAGCCAAGTGTGTCAAACCGTACACCCACTAGTGAAAACTAGATATCAGTGTTTTATTAGAGCAGGAAGATATTACAACTGGAAAGTGTTTTACAGTAAGCTTGATTTTTCAGCTTAGAAACAGGTGACATTAGTGCCCTTTCTTGCTATGAAAGTGGCTACCTGTTCTTTGAAGCAGATTTTTGGTGTGACCAAAAGCCCTCATTTCATTAAAAAAACATTATACGAATTAGAGAACTGCTGACACTTCCTGGCTGAACAAAAACTGCAAAATACACTGACTAGTACAAAAATGACAGCTGGCAGTGCTCGCTAGTTTTCTTTTTCAACTGAAGCCCTTTTAAAAATATTATAATCAAAAAATAAAGGGAAACAGTAATGCTGTGAGATGCAGGGGGGTTGTCACCGAACATATGTAATCTCAAATAAGAATAAATTATTGTATCCTTTTTCATAAAAGTAGCCATGTTTATAGACTTCTCCAAGAACAGAAGAATGATGGTATTTTCAAGACTGAACCGACCTGTTTCAGTGTGAGCTTTCATGGACTACAACCCACATATTCAGACATGTCACTAAATGAGCCCCAATTCTTGTTTGTGTTTATTTTTGCGATGTATTTATGCAGCTAAAGGGAATTTACCGACATGGATTGTTTAATAGATTGGTTGAATCATCAACATTTCGACATAAAAATGAACCAGAAGTTTTTTTCTTTCTACTTAACTTTTTAGGAAATACCTAGTAGAAAGCAATTAAAACATTTTATTTAATAAAACATTTTTGGCTGAAAATGAATAGGGCATAGTTCAGTGTAAAGCAGTTTGGTTTTCTGCTGTGAAGTCATATGTACTTGTATATACTCAGAAGTAAATTAGTTGGTGTTCAGTGGGAATTCCTTCTAAATCCATGACAAGATTGTATCATAAATTACACTGATCTTACAGCATATTGTAGCTTTAAAAAAAAAATCAAATTCAAAAACTCACCCAGGTACAGGAAAGACAGAGCACTTGCAGACAGTTTTGAGAACTGAGGGAAAGCATTCTTAAGATCCATTGCCCTTCAGGCGAGCTCAGACTAAACTCCGTCCCTTTCTTATGCCGGTCTCTGTCACATGCAAGGAGTTAATATTTAACTCAGAATGGTTGTATTCGTGGGTTTGTTTCCCTTAACCACTTAAGTCCTTTGTTTTGAGAATTCAGCAGCAATAATATTCTGGGTAATTAAAAATAGCTAGTGTTTTTTCTAAAAAAATTCCCAGTACTTCTAACAGCCTTTTAAGGGAGTGAAACCAGACTTTCTAAATGAGATTTGCAAATACTGCTTTGCTGTTGATTATAAATAGTCTTGGGTTGGTTTGAACCTCTAGGCTTGTGGCAGAGTACTGTGAACAGTGCAAAAAAATCTTGTCCTTTTTTTAACTCTCTCATTGCTGAAACTTTCCACATGATAAGATGCATGTGCGAGCAGTGTAGGAATGTATTTTAAAATGGCCAGACAAGTATGGGGGGGGGGATGATGAATCAGAATGAGAAATCTGCTTTAGTGTCTTTTTCCCTATCAAAATCATTTTATTTCTTCTTTTGGTTATTATATATTTTTAGCATATGGAGGCTTTAGTTATTAACTAACAGTGCTCTCTTTGAAGTTTAAGGTACCGTATTTTTTCATGGATAATACCCCCATGCATAAGACACACACACCACTTTTCTAACCCCAATTTCTTTCTTTGCAAGAAAGTGGATGGGGAAGACAGGTATCAAAGTGCTTTGATTCCTGCTTTCTCCCTCCACTTTTTTTGCAAGGAAAGTGCTTTCGCCCTCTATTTTCTTCACAAGAAAATGGAAGGGTAAAGTAGGAATCAAAGTGCTTTGATGATTCCTGCTTCCCCCCTCCAATTTCTTGTGAAGAAAGTAGAGGGCGAAAGCACTTTCCTCGCAAAAAAGTGGAGGGGGAAAGCAGGGATCAAAGTGCTTTGATCCCTCCCCCCTTCCTTACTTCTGTATATAAGACCATTTTTAATTTAAAGATTTAGACAAAAGTATCATCTTATACACAGAAAAATACGGTAACAAATTGAGTAACGTCATAGTACAAAATCCACAGTTGCAGCAGAGCTATTCAGGGAAATCTACAGTCATTTATGATCTTTTTTGTGGTGTGTTAAGTGGAGCAGAGATATGAAATTATAAACGTAGCCATTCTCGTGCCATGAGGAACTTTGCACTCATAGAATAAGATTTATTTTATTTTATTTTCCAGCAGAGCAATCAATTGCATGATGAAACAGTTGCTGAACTTGGGGTCTTTCTCACTACTTTAACTGCTGGGAACATGCATGAAGCCCTGTTCATGAAGTTACAAGTTTAATGCCCCAGTTAGACTTACTCAATTGTTACAGAATCCAGTATTGCCAACATAGAGAGGAACATCCAGATTTTCCCCCATATTGCTTTTGCCATGAAGTCAGTGACAAGTTTTAAGAGGAGAGGTTTGTGCTGCTCTGGAGCAAGAATCCAGATTTTCCAGGACTCTTACAGTCATGGCCAAAAATATTGCCACCCTTGCAATTCTGTCAGAAAAATGCAACCCTTCTCTCAGAAAATTGTTGCAGTTGCAAATGTTTTAGTATTCACATGTTCATTTCTTTGGTTTCCTTTGGAACAACACACACAAAAAAAAAAACAGAGAAGAAAAGTCAAGTCTGATACAATCCCACACACAAACCCAAAAATGCAATGGCTAAAATTATTGACACTCTGTCTAAATTGTAAGAAATAACTGCTTTTCAAGCATGTGATGTTCCTTTATTTTGTATTTAGACACACCTGTCGCAAGTAAGAGGTGTGGGCAATATAGTGATCACACAACCAGTTAGGATGGAGAAAAGTTGACTCAACCTTTGTGTTGTGTGTGACACTGGGCATGGACAAAAGAATGAAGTTTAAAGAGTTGTTTGTGGATTTGAGAGAAAAAATTGTGGAAAACCCTCGACAATCTCAAGGCTACAAGTCCGTCTCCAGAGATCTTAATGTTCCTGTGTCCACTGCACAATATCATCAAGAGGTTTACAGCCCATGGCATTGTAGCTAACCTCCCTGGACATGGACAGAAGAGCAAAATTACTGAAAAATTACAACAAAGTGTTATTTGAATGGTGAATATAGAACTCAGATTAACTTCCAAACAAGCTGATCTGCAGACACAGGGTACAACAGTGTAAGCTTGACTATCTGTCACCATCTGAATGAAAAGGCATGCTATGACAGGAGACCCAGGAGGACACAACTGCTAACACAGAGGCATAAAAAGCAAGACTGGGGTATGCCAGAACTTATGTGACAAAACCACAGTCCTTCTGGGAGAATGTACTGTGGACAGATGAGACAAAATTAGAACTTTTTGGTCAAGGACATCATGGCACTGTTTACAGAAAAAGAAATGAGGCATTCAAAGAAAAGAACACAGTCCCTATAGTCAAACATGGTGGAGGTTCAAAGATGTTTTGCTGCTTCTGGCACTGGATGCCTTGACTGTGTGAATGGTATCATGAAATCTGATGATCATCAAAGAATTTGGGGGCACAACATAGTGCCCAGTGTCAGAAAGCTGTGTCTCCACCAGAGGTCATGGGTCTTCCAGCAGGACAGTAACCCAAAACACACTTCAAAAAGCACACAGAAATGGTTACAAATAAAGCGCTGGAGAGTTCTGAAATGGCCAGCAACGAGTCCAGATCTGAATCCCATAGAACACCTGTGGAGAGATCTCAAAACAGCAGTTGGAAGAAGGCATCCTTTATTT